TTTTTTTGGTACCGGGGATTGAACTCAGGTCCTTGCGTTTGTGAGGCAGGTGCCAGAACCACTGAGCTAAATCCCCGGCCCGATTCAGTACTTCTCTATACAACTGGTGTCTACCACACTTATGCAGGACCTTGTCAATACCATGATGTTCCCATCAAGATCTTTGCCCTCAGGGAGTTCAGAATCTCAGGAGGAGTCACTTAAACAGGCAATAACAGTAGAAGCCTCTCTCCAAAGGCAAGGGGGCCAAACCCAAAGGGGCTTGACAGTGACCATCTGGAGGTGTTTAGCTGCCGGCCTTCCTCACCCACCCAGGACCTGGTCCATGCACTAGTCAGCTCAGAACACCTGTGGAAAGAGGGCCATGGCATGATGAAGTAGGCAAATCACAGATGCAGGAGATGGGAAGATCTGTGTTTGAATCTCCTAACAGATCCTGTGTTGACCCTGAATAGGTCATTTGACCTCTCTGATTCTCCTTTTCCTGTTGGAAAATGAGACCAAAGCATCTGCCACAAAATCATGGTTAGGATTAAATAAAATGGTGTGTGTCAAGTGCTTAACACATGCTTCATTAAAGAAACTAGTATTAGCTGGGCATGGGGCACACACCTATAATCCCAGCACTTAGGAGGCTGAAGCAGGAGGGCTGCTATAAGTTCAAGGCCAGCCTGGGATATATAGTGAGTTCAAGACCAGCCTAAACTACATAGCAAGACCTAGTCTCAAAAAAACCAAAAAAATGGGGCCGAGGATTTAGCTCAGTGGTTCCGCCGCCTGCCTCACAAGCACAAGGACACAAGTTCAATCCCCTGTACAAAAAAAAAAAAAAACCCAAAAAGAAAAAAAGAAACTATAGAGTTAACATGGCTTGCAGAATGGGGATGGGAGGAAAGTGGGACTCTGCTGCTCCCCCATTGGTATCCTCCCTGCCCATCCGCCTCCCTGGGCACACTGTCAGCTTGATCTTTTGCCCACTTTAACCAGTTCAGAATTGAAAACGGAAATAATTGATGTGAGCAATCACAGGATTGTCTTGCATTGTCAGGGACCACTTCTACAGCCCTGCAGGGGGAAACAATGGCAGGCAGCACTCAAACTGGTATGCTCTGAACCCCACCTAAGGAGTGCTCCTTGCCCAGGCTGGCTTCTCCACCCAAACTGGGGAAGAAGTTCCGGCATGGCAGCAGGGAGCCTAGTGGTGGACAGGGGCTCAGCAGAGGCAAGGGGCCAGCTGAGACAGGGGTGAGCATCTAGGCAGCCCCACTGACCTCCCTAATGGCTCATCAATCCTCTCTGGCAGCCAGCATAATTTCATGCCACAGTAACCTTTTCTCTTGCTGCAAATTCCTTTGTACAAAACTCTGGACCCCCTCTCTGTCAGGCCAGACAAAGGTGGCTGAATGGCAGCGAGCTGGAGTCCCTGCAAGAGGGAACAGACCCCATGGATGGGCTGGGAGCACTGGCCCAGTCCTGCTCCTGCTTGGCTCCCAGAAGCCCTCCCTCCTCCTCGGCCCAGTTTTTGTCAATGATCAGCTCTTTCCTTAATGAGTGTAATTCCCCTAATTATAGGCTGCAATTAGCCCTGATCCCAGAGATGGGAACAGGAGAAGCATGTGCTCACACAAGCGTCTCGTGGGCTGAGGAAAGAGGGTGCCAGAAGAGGGGGTGAAGGGCCTAGTGCCCATGCTCCATGTGGAAGCAGTCCAAGCTGATGTTTAAGGTCACTAGGATGGACCCCAACAAGGGCCTTAGGGCAGAACCAAATTCCAACTCCCCTCCTCCAGCCCCCACAGGGTAGGGAAGCAGAGGGACCTGAAAGGCACACCCCTCCTCCATCCTGAGCATTCCTGGCACTGGACTTGGCTCCAAAAACAGACGCCAGTAAGAAAATAACTCGACAGATTGCAGTGGTTCAGGATCCCCGGGAACAGTTGTCATGGCAATAGGAGGAAGCTCATCCCAGGAAGAGGCACTTTACCCATTATGGAGTCTGGGGGACTTTATCTTCTGCCCCCAGCCTTCTGCTCCTGCCTCATCCTGGCTCCGTTTATGAAGTAGGGACTTCACTTTCCAAGCTGGGATTGAACTCAAGAAGGTGTAAATATAGGTGCTGAGCCTGACATATCTGGCTCATGGTCTATGCCTCTCTATCATTTTCCCCTTGACTCCCTCTACTTGGGGCATAGCACCCCATCCCACCCTGGCATGGAATCTCTCCAGGTCACTGTGAGTGCCTGAACAAACTCCCAGGGCAGCCTTGTCTACCACTCTCAGCCTTCTTTAACCCCTGATTCCAGATTTCTACTTTAACTGGAGAAGCAGGAGTTGGGAGATAGAAAACAGGTGCCTGCTAGAGCAGGAAGCTCAAGTCCCACCCCACCACTTACTTACAGTGTGATGAAGGCACAGAGGCTCCCTGAACCTCAGTTTTCCTTATCTGAAAGTGGGTTAAAAATCCTTATCTAGCCTTCCTTTCTCCTAAGCATATTGTATCAAGTAAGAAGAATGTGAAAGCACTTTAGGAGCTGGAAAGTGCTGCAGGCATGAGGTGCAATTATTACTCAACATTACAAACAGTATCAATAGGCTGGGTGTTAGACATTTGTGCCAGGCACTGCAGGTATGTCTTCTTTTTTTTTTTTTTTTTTTTTTGGTACCAGGGATTGAACTTGGGTCCTTCCGCTTGCAAGGCAGGCGGCGGAACCACTGAGCTAGATCCCCGGCCCTACAGGTATGTCTTCTAACATAACCTTCACAGCACTGAATGCAATACTGTAAATGGATGTAAACTGAGGCCCAGAGAAGGGAGGTAACTTCCCCAAGCCGGGGAGCCCATCTTCAAATCCAGGCAGTCTGACCCCAAAGCCTACCTCCTAAGCATTGTCCTGTACTACCTGCCAATCAAAACTGGCCTCTTATTGGCCATTCTCTCAAGAGACAGAAAAGTAGGAACCATCCTGCTTTCACAGACATACTAAGTAAGAACAGGACAGGTGGGGTGTGCCTACAATCCCAGTACCCTGAGAGGCTGAGGCAAGAGGGTCCCAAGTTCCAGCCCAGCCTGGGAAATTTAGGAATTTAGTGAGACCCTGTCTCAAAATTTTAAAAAAGGGTTGGGGATGTAGTTCAGTGTGAAAGCCCTGGGCTCCATCCCAGTACCACAAAAAAAAAAAAAAAAAAAAAAAAAAAGGAGAGAGGTAAGTCACGAAACTGGGCCACAAAACTCAAGCTTCAAGATCTTGGTCTCAGAGGCAGACCCTTTTTCTATTCACACCAAAGAACAGAGAGATAGCTCAAGCCTCCTCTCAGCTTCTCTCCTTGACCCTTTCCTTCCCCACCTTTCAGGCTAATTTTTAGCAACCTAGTTTAGCTTTGGTCCGAGTTGGGATTTGCCAGGTTGTTTTGTAGGATTTGCTGTCACCATGTGGTCATGCTTGGTATGACACTCGCACACGCTACCAGGTTTCCCAGGGCAACTGGTCTCATCCCCAACTTCCATGAAGGCTGGCTTTGCCTCAGCACCCTCGCCCCCATCCCGTCTTTAAAAGAAATCCTGCACCGCTGCCATCAAGCTTTTTAACATTTCTCAATGAATACTGAGGAAGCGTTTGCTGTCTGACTTCAGTCTTTTGTGTTGCAATTCATATTTGTCTCCTACAGAAAAATATCACACTTCACATCAGTATAGGCTTTTCACTATTCCAAATGCTTTCACATCTACTAGTCATTCCATAAATACTTCTTGAAGATACATTTTCAGCTGTGTGCCAGGGAAACCAAGCTGAATAAAATACTATTGAATTTAGTTTCAGGTTAATCCTGTGTGTCGGCTAGCATTTTGAACCTCATTTAAAAATGAAGAAACAAGACACAAAAAGGTTAAACAACCTGCCTTAAGTGTCACAAAGCTTGAGCCAGATCCTAAGCCTCCCAACTTTTTTGCTGTGAACTTGTTCCACTAACCAGCTCAACCTGCTGGAAATATTGTTAGTTCTTTCTAGGGAACAGATTTGGGGGTATTTTCTGGAACTCCTAATGCCAAGTGATGCCTCCAGGCAGGCTGAGGCAAATTGGCACAGGGTTTCACACACACACACACACGCACACACACACACACACACACACACAATATCACTCATTTTCTCTTTATAGCCTACCTCCTGAGCTGCCACTTTCCCCGACAACCAGCCTATGGAGATGTGACTGTCACCAGCCTCCACCCAGGAGGCAGTGCCCGCTTCCACTGTGCCACTGGCTACCAGCTTAAGGGTGCCAGGCTCCTTACTTGTCTCAATGCCACCCAGCCCTTCTGGGATTCCCAGGAGCCTGTCTGTATCGGTGAGTGACCGCAGGGGAGAGGGCTCAATGCTGAGCAGAGGAGCTAGGTGGGGGCTCATCCCTGCTCTCCATTGCTATCTGGCACTTGTATTTGGTCTCCACAAAGAATCAGAATATGGGGCCGGGGATTTAGCTCAGTGGTTTCAACACCTGCTGCGCAAGCGCAAGGACCTGAGTTCGATCCCCAGTACCAAAAATAAATAATCAGAATATGCATATGGTCACATATAGTGTGGCATTCATCCAACCTGAACTTATTGAGCACTACTATATGAAGGTACCACAAGCATACAAAGCTGACTTAGGCAAGAAATCTGCCTTCAAAGACCTCACAGTTCAGGAAGAGGGGGGGCATGTAAGTCACCAGTTTCCACAGCAGGGATTAAAAGGTACCAATGAAGAGACATAAAGTGACCATGGAGGGAAGGAAGCAATCATTCTTAGCTGGGTAGTAAGGACACTTCCTAGGAGAGGTGGCAATGAAGTTTGACTTTTTTTTTTTTTTTGTACCAGGGATTGAACTCAGGACCTTGTGCTTTCGAGGCATGAAGTTTGATATTTTGATAAAGGGATGTGACTTAAAGGCAGGGAGGAGAGGTGTTTAGAGGGCAGTAGGAGGGCCTAACTGTGAGGCCAAGATACTAAGTGGGGAGCTGGTTTTTGAGAGAAAGGGGGAGGAACTCAGAACTACCCTTCAGGAGAGCCAGGGGAGTGGTAGCCAGGCTGGGAGGCCAGCCAGGCCAGAGGGTTTGAATTTAGACAATGACTTTGAGCATGGAGAAAAGGGAAGAAGTTCCAGAGACACTGATAAGGGGATGGGGGGGGGGGTCCCCAGGTTCCAGTCCTGGGTGATGAGGAGGTCTGAGATTACCAGCAGAAGAGGAGTTGCTGGGGAAAGGAAGATAGAATGTTTGGTCTGTGGTATGACAGGCAACTTGGGCTTTTGTAGGGGAGTAGCTTGGGGTTTGAACCTTATTTCATCCTATATGTTCTTCCTGGTTCCAGTTATAATCAGAAATGAATAAGACAGATGTTCTCTGCCTTCAGGAGCTGTCCAGTGGGAAGAGGGTGGGCAGCTCAGTGCAGACAATGCTGACTGAGGGTAACCTGAGGGTGTGGTGGGAATCTAGGCCAGGGAGAGTGGTTCAAACCTGAGGAAGGAGGCAAAGAAGGCTCACAGAAATGTTTGGGGAAGTGGAGTGGATTCTCGGAACAGCATACATGAGGATATATAGGCACAAAGTACATGATATATCATGTACTCACTATATATATATATATCTTATCCTCACTATAGTGAGGATATAGCAAGGTGTGTCTGAAGATGGTATACAGGGTGAGAAGACTGAAATTGAGCTGAGAGTTGGATTCATAAAGGGCCACTTTGAGCTTGGACTGCACCCTGGGGGCAATAGGGAGTCACTGAGCAATTTTAAACCAAGGATGGGGTATGGCCAAATTTGAAGGGCAGTTTCATGCTGACACCAAGCAAAAAAAGTGGTTCTGCCCTCTGCAGAGAAGCTGAGACTTACCGTAGCCCCCAGGAGCATTAATAGGTTACAATATTCTGCCATCTGGAGTATTTGGAGGCAGTGGTACTAGGAATTGGTCATAGTAGCCTGGTCCTGAAAGTGGGAGGGGTCAGAGCTTTCCAGGAGAGGAAAGCACTGCCTGGAACCAGCTCCCTCCTGCCTCAGGCCCCTTCTCTGCCCCACTTAACAGGCAGGAGCTTGTGGCCAAGTAATACAGTAATCCTCACTGCTAGGTCCAGGCAAGCAGCTCAGTCACTTCTTGGGAAGAGAGGACAGTCCCAGGCCAGAAGGGTCAATCTGGCAAGGCCCTAAGAGCTCAGCTCAGGAATGACAGTATAGTGATGCCTGGAGAGCTATTTCAGAAAGTGTCAGAGGCCATCTGTGGCTAGCAGTGTCTCCTAAGAACACAAGGCTTTGGGGTAGATGGCTTGAACATCTGGTATTTGTCATCCCTGACTTAGCCCTTCCCCCCTTTTAAAATTCATCCACTCATTTTACTCATCCAACACTGAACACCAACTCTGTATCTGGCTTGCAAATACCTGGTCCTTGCCCAAGAGGATCCTATTTAAGGGACAGGCTCAAATAAATAACAGTATTTATTTATTTGTTTGGGGTTTTTTTGTTTTGTTTTGTTTTTTGGTACCAGGGATCAAACTCTGGTCCTTGCACTTGCGCAGCAGGCAGCAAAACCACTGAGCTAAATCCCCAGCCCTATTTGTTTGTTTTGCAGGGCTGGGAATCAGACCCAGGGCTTCACATATGCCAGGCAAGCCAAATAAATGGTTTTAGAAAGTAGCATGGGCCAGGGATTTAGCTCAGTGGTTCCGGTGCCTGCCTCGAAAGTGCAAGGTCCAGAGGTCGATCCCCAGTACCAAAAAAAAAAAAAAAAAAAAAAAGGAGAGAGGTAAG